GTTGTTAATGGTTAATATTTTTGAAATTTGATCTTTATAGGAAAAAGAACATACTATTTTATGTTTTATTTGTGATGTCCTTTAATTATCAATATTAATATTTGGGTAATTTTGGTTGAATATATGTTTTAAGACCGAAAACCCGGAAAACTGGAAATGAAAATATCTCGGTTATTGATGGTTAAAACTTTCAAATTGGGATCTTAACAGAAAATAGAGAATACTATCTGATGTTTATCTTAAGAAGTCCTATAGTTATTAGTATTTAAAAAATTGTAATTCTTGTGTAAAATGTGATTTGTAGAGAAAAATTGTGAAAAATGGAAATAAAAAACTCGATTATTCATGGTTAAAACTTTTAACATAGGATCTTTATAGACAGACTATATTATCTTATGTTTATCGCATATGTATTCCTCTTGTTATCGATATCAATAATAATCAATTTGTTGTGTGAAATATTTTGTTTTACACACTATAAACTACAAAACAAGAATATATCCATAGTACACGGATGCCCCACCCGCACTGTCATTTTCTATGTTCAGTGGACTGTGAAATTGGGTCAAAACTCTAATTTGGCATTAAATTTAGAAAGATCTTATCATAGGGAACATTTGTACTAAGTTTCAATATGATTGGACTTCAACTTCATCAAGGGGCCTCGGTGGCCAAGTGGTCTAAGTAGTTCTACTACTGTAATCACTAGCCAGTCAACACTGAGGTTGTGAGTTCGAACCACGCTCGTGCGGGTGCACTCGACTCCAATCTTAATCTAGGATTGTCAGTTTTCCTATCGAAGGTCGGTGGTTTTCTCCGGGCACTCCGGCTTCCTCCACCCACCAATAAAAACTGGCCGCCACGAAATAGCCCAAATGTGGCGCTTAAAAGTGGCGTTAAAACACCAACAATCAATCAATCAAACAACTTCATCAAAAAATACCTTAACATAGCAAGTAAATCCGGCACACGGAGGTGGGCTTCAGCTGACCCCTTAATTATTTTGTACACTAGTTCAGCAAAATGGACACAACCCTAAACTCCAGTACATACAAATAAACCAAAATTATCACAAAAAAAAACCACACACACAAGACAAGCAAAGGCTAGAGGTTCCTGACTTGGGATAGGTGCAATAATGTGGCAGGGGTAAAACATGTTGTGTGAGAACTCAACCCTCCCCTAGTTTCTCTAGACAATATATAATAAACAAACACACAGTAAAACTCAGATTTAAATATGTGCATTTTGTGGAAGTTTGAAATTTTATCTTATGTTTTGGTTATGTATTTATAGTAATTATACGTGTAGGTATAATAAACAAAAAACGATTGAGTTAAAAAAAAACTGTAAATCAGTTTGGTTACTGACTTTGATTTTGTCATGTTAATTGCTGGAAAAGTCATTTCTCTAGTGTCCTTGCATCGTCATTGACTGTAGTCCTTTTTGTGTATTTTTTCATTAGCTACTTTTACAATATTTGAATTGCATAAAGTCACAGTTAAACACAGACGATGTGATTGCAGATTTCTCTTAATGTGTTGCTAATTTTATTTAGCAAGCTCTATCAATATCCACGTTTAATTTCGGATATATAAGCTTTTTAAAATCGTCAAAATATAAAACAAGTCAAACGAGAAACTCAAAGGCCTGATTAATGTTAAAACAATAAACGGAAAACAAATATGACAGACAGCAAACAATAACAACCAAGTAATAAAGGGCCACTGACTTGTGATAATCATATTCATAGTATGCAGGGTTAACCCTGTTTGCGAGCACTCAACCCTCCAATAATCAGGAACAGTTTTTATTTAGGGGCCGGCTGAGGACCACCTCCTGGTGCGAGATTTTCTTGTTGCGTTGAAGAACCATTCGTGGCCTTCGTCTGTTATCTGCTCTTGATCTGGTCGGGTTGTTGTCTCTTTGACATACAGTATTCCCCATTTCCATTCTCAATTTTATTTAAATAGCAAACAACGTAAGAACAAATTGTAAAACCCAGTTGGAAAGGGCTCAACTCAAAAGTACACATCCGATTAGTAACCAAAGTGAAAAGTGGATTCAGTGTTACAGTCAAAGCTTTATTTATATGGTGTTTGAGTACTGAGATCGTCGCAAATTACATGAGTAGCTATTTGCTTCGAGGAGCCTAAAATTTTCATTTGTGAAAAAATATTTAACATAAAATCATTTAACACTACTCATTCTTATTTTTTTATGAAAGATTGTTGGATTTTAAATCTTCACATGTTTGTTCCAGAAGGTAAATGAAATAAATATAGTGTTTTCTTTCTAAAGTTGTGGAGAAAAAATACCTTAAAGACTTTGAATCTTGCAATAACATTTTTTTATAAAGAACGAAACATGTGTTTCTGGAATCCCTCCCCCAACAATAAATAAACTGTCTGTGCCTTTAACACAGGGGCAGAACTCTTTCAAATACCAAGTAAGAATGTGACTAAGTTGGTTACTCTAATTCAGTACAGTTTTCCATTTATAGGTTACTTACAATACTATTTTGGAGAATTAGATTCTTGGATTGTAAAATAGCAGAACACAATCTCGGTCTATATCCTTATTCAAATATACAAATTTTGAGACAGGAATGTTTGCTTATTATTGCCTTTGATTATGCGTGCTGATAATTGTAGAAAGAGCGTTCTTGTGCTCATGTTTATTGATATAAGTGTATCCTTATATGTGCCGACCACAAAAAATAAAATGTACTTGCTTTAATAGAGAAATTACAGAAAATGACATTTTGAAAGCTATTCGTAACCTGAAACGAGATAAAAGTCATGGAGTTGATGGAATTCTTAACGAATATTTTATTGAATACAAGGATGTGTTTATGCCTGTATTACTGTACATTTTTAACGGAATTTTACAGTCCGGAATTTTTCCTACTAATTGGGCTAAAGCCATTCTTATACCTATATTCAAGAAGGGTAATGTGCTTGATCCGAACAACTACAGAGGGATTAGTTTAGTCAGTAATTTTGGAAAGTTATTTACGTCCGTTCTAAATCAACGTTTAATAGACTGGTCGGAAACGTTTGATATTGTGACCGATGCCCAGTTCGGCTTTCGCCCCGGTCTGGGTACAGTAGATGCTATTTTTGCTCTTACGTCATTAATTTTCAAGTCTTTATCAGCTAAAAATCATTTTTATTGTTGTTTTGTAGACTACACGAAAGCTTTTGACACTGTTCAAAGATATATGTTATGGTATAAACTATCAAAAATTGGTATACTATTCAAGGTAAATTTTTAATGGTAATCAAAGCAATGTATTCTAATGTCAGCACTTGTGTAAGTGTTGATGGGTTCAATTCTGATTATTTTACTAATGAAGTAGGTCTGATGCAAGGTGAAGTATTATCACCTATAATTTTTTCAATGTATGTCAACGATTGTGAAATGGCCTTTATAAATAGTGACTCTATTCCTTATAAGGTGAAGGAACTAAATTTATTTTTATTGATGTACGCTGACGATATGGTAATTTTTTCAGAATCTGTATCTGGTTTACAAACGTTACTTGATACTTTGTATGATTATACCTCCAAATGGTCACTTAGTGTTAATATAGCAAAAACGAAAATTGTTGTTTTTAGAAAGGGTGGTAAAATACATGATAATGAAAAATGGTATTATAATAACCAGGAAATAGAAGTTGTAGATAAGTATAGTTATCTTGGTATTTTGTTGAATTTTAATGGTAAATATAATCTGTTACAGCAGAAACTATCAGAGCAGGGTAGAAAAGCTGTTTTTGCCTTAAGGCGAAATATAAAAGATATTTATTTGAATTTTGTAACTTTACTTTCACTTTTTGATACTTATATTAACAGTGTACTTTGTTATGGTTGTGAAATTTGGGGTGCTCATAAGGCACCAGCTATACTAAGAGAGGATACATCTGGGCTTTTGTAAAAATATTATGAAATGAAAAGCTCTACTAGTAATGTCATGGTGTACTATGAGCTAGGTAGATTGCCATTATTGCACACAAGAAAATGTAGAATTTTTAAATACTAGTTTAAGCTGTTATGTACCACAAACTGTATTTTGAAAAACTGTTACTGTTTTTTATATGATGATTTACAAAAATGTCCAAATAATAAGACAAATTGGTTGTATTTTATTAAAAATGAGTTGCTTAGTATAGGTTTAGGTGATATTTGGTATAATCAAGGTTTAGTTTTTGATAGTAAGCTCTCCAGTACTTTTTACTTGATAATTAAACAACGCCTGTTTGATTGTCTGAAGCAAGATTTTGACAGCCAATTGAATAACTTAGTTAAATGTTCAAGTTATAGATATATGGTTCAAAATTTTTGTTTACAATATTACTTATGTAAACCAATACCAGTTATTTATAAGACATGTATTACCTAAATAAGACTTAGTAGTCATGATTTAGCTATAGAATGTGGACGCTATTCTGCAATTCCAAGAAATAATAGACTAGGTAGTTTTTGTAAAAATGACATTGAAGATGAGATGCATTTCATTTTAAAATGTCCCACTTATCAAGGTCTTAGATCTTATTTTATCAAACCTTATTATTGGAGAAAACCTTCTATGTATAAATATATACAATTAATGGGTTCTAATAATCTTAGAGAATTATGTAATTTGGGTAAATTTATATTTCGTGCACAAAAATTAAGATCTAACATGTTGTAATATGTTTCACACTACCTTCTGCTATCTATGTATACTGTGATTAGTTTATATGTTGTATGCCTATAGTTGTTATGACTTTGGTAAATAAAGATTAATACCTATTTACTCTGCTCAGTTAGATTTATCTGTCGCCACAAACAGTGCAAAAGGTCCGATTTATATTATTATTATTATTATTATTATTATTATTATTATTATTATTACTGTAAATCCATGGACTCCGCATTGATAAGCAGAGGGGTGCCGTCATCTGTAATATTTTAGTTTACAAAAACAAAAAAACACTTTGAAGATATAATTTATTCGATGTCAGTAAAGTGTTTGAATCTCAAAAATATAAAAACAATACAAAAAACGCATATAAAATACGTAAAATTTGCTTTAGAACAGATGAAAAGGTACTGGAAGACATACTAGGTAAGAAAATATGTTAAATGGTATGAAATACAATAAGAAAAAAACAAATAATGACAAGTTTACTGTTGCCTAGGATACTACAAATGGCGACCTCCATGTAAAGTGTTTACGAAAATTTGAAGAACACGAAAGTTTAGTTTAAAACAGCAAATATTTAAGTCAGTTAACAATATTTACTTTGAATCCTAAAGCAATTAAACCTTTTACCAAGAATATGTTTATATTTGAAATGTAACAAATTTAAATCAACAGAAAAGTTTTACGGTGGTTTTTGGGGGTATCAACAGAGACATGCAGGTCGGGAAAAGCCATTAATTGGTTAAATATACCTTAATTTAAGTATGATCTACCATTCGACATATAGTCAGATTGACAATCATTTAAGAGATATTCAGACATTTTTTGTATATATACCAGCATCTTAACCCTCGGTATCAGGTCCGTTTGCTCCCTATACACGTTCGCACACCACACGTTCGCCCCCTGGGTCCGTTTGCACCCCATATTATATTCAAATCTGGTTGAATTATTTAATGTTTTTTAGATATATATATATATGTATATCAAATTATTTATATTTTCATAAATAAAAATTTGTGAATTTTTAAACATATATACTCATGATACATGCATATGTTAAAATGATTTTTTTTTTTTAATGATTGGATGATTAAATATTAATTGTTTTGAATACTTTTTGGAATGTATGATATCATAATGGATAAAAATAAATCAAATATATAACTTAAGTCCTTCTTTACCTTCATAGTGTACCTTCAAGCTTCTTTACATATGGAAATAAATCAAATATATTATAAATGATAGCTGTAATACAACACTAAATAAGCATATATGTATATATAAAAGTACATATAACACCATGAACACCTTAAACAATGTTAAAAAACACATGTGATTTGTGGCCCGGTTTTTGTGATATTCGTTTTGTGGCAAAATCATTGTGACGAGTTTGATAGCTGTTTGGTAACTTCCGCCTTTCTTTTACAAGTCGTAGATGAATGAAATTTGCCATGATCATCAGGACAATTCTTTATTTATTACTCATTCAATCAAAATAATTAATAAAACACTAAAGGAAACCTGTTTATGTTTTTTGAACGTCTCTTTGTTTTGAAACATTAAAAAAACTTATTACATTGGTAGCATTGAATTACATTGATTTCCCAGTCAAATAAAAACCGATAATTTCACATGTGAAATAAACGTGGTTATTTCACTCTCTGACGTCATACAACAATAGTCGTTGTCAAGACGTCGATAACGTCGGATCAAAACTAATTGTGAATGCGTAGAAAAAAGATATAGTTCCTTACATTTTCTACATTAATTTCATTAAAAAAAGCCATTTGCCAATGTAATAAAAAGAATAACTAATCAAAGAATTCAAATATCGAAAAATATTCAACTCGTGACTGAACAACACTGATAATTAACTCATGCGCTACGCGCATTCGTGAATTAATGTGTTGTTCGGTCACTTGTTGAATATTTTTCACTATTTGAATTCTTCGATTAGTTATTCTATAATTATTTATAGCAACACACTAACTAAAACACGATTAAAAAATTATTCAACACAAAACCAATAAAAAGGGTGCAAACGTGTGGGGTGCGAACGTGAATGGGTGTGAATATGATTTTGACCCGTATTCTTAACCCTCTTGCTGCTCGAGGGACACATGTGTCCACACCAGCTGTGCCTAAGGTACATATATGTACGCAAATGCATGGGAAAAAAATCTGTGTCTGAGAGAGGGATTGTCAAGAGCCAGGAAAGAAGCATATATTTTTTTTGGCCTCATAAAAATATTAATGAAAACTTATCATAGTTTAATTATGCAAGCTTCTAATCAGTGCTGTATCTTTTTCAAATAAAATAATGAAGATTAAATTTTGTATAAATATTGTCTTTAATGGGACCCAATGTAACGTCATTTATAGGGCATGATGCCATTGTTCTTCTTTCAGGTAAGGAGTTGACCTCATACTTGAGTGATTAAATAACTTTGCTCGGTAAAACAGGAGGCTTCTCCATTGAATAAAAGTAAATACATGTATTAACCAAATGATTAAAACTATTTATACTGAACAAATTTACAAGTTAGTGTCTAGTGAGGCTGCATCTGGGTCCAGGGCACACTGGCTAATCTAGCTCTGAACTCTTTAAGTGTTGGTGCAGATGCTACATGTACTGTGTCTGGCAGTAGGTTCCAGTCTCTTATAGAATGTGGGAAAAAAGGAGTTGCTATAAATTCCTTTGTTGTTCTGATCTGTCTTATTCTGTGTCCTCCCCTTGTTCTGCTGTCCCCAGGTGTGTAGTAGATAGCTGGTTGGATCTCCACTTGTTAACTCTGGATCTTATAGCTTAAGCAGTGTCGCTGGTTCATTCTTTGCTGTAGGGTTTCCCACTGGAGTTGGTCTAATAGTCTAGTTACACAGGCTAGGGAAGTGCCGATGTACAGGTTGTAGATAAAAGCGTGCTGCTTTCTGCTGTACTCCTTTAAGGTCTTTGATCATGGTGGTTTGATGGGGGTTCCACACTGTGGCAGCGTCCTCCATCAATGGTCTGATCAGTGCACAATAGGTGGTGTTTTTGACAGGTGGCTTGCAACGGCCAAAGTTCCTACAGAGAAAGCCAAGGTCCTGGTTGCTGGTGGTGTTGTTAATGTGCTTATTCCGCTGTAGGTCTTGACTGTTGGTAACTCCAAGGTAGTTTCCACTATCAACAACTTCTAGTTGGTGTCCGTGCAAGATATAAGTTGTTTGCAGGGTATGATGCTTGTTAGAAATTCTCATGACAATGCACATTTCTGGATGAAAACACATATGCCACTTGTGTTCCCATTCTTCAAGGGCAGTGAGTTCTCTCTGGAGAGTTGCTGCATTATCTGGATTTCTAATTTTCCTGTAGACCAGGCTATCGTCCGCAAACAATCTTACATCAAAAGATGTGCAATACTGCATGTCATTGATGTAAGTAAAGAACAAGAGAGGACCTAAGACTGTCCCTTGATAAAACATCTAAAGGGGTACATGTAGATGTTTGTCCTTCTAGGACAACTGACTGGGTTCTACAGCTTTGGAAGTCCTTTATCCAGCTAAAGTTGTTTTTTTTTATTTTCATTTTTTTAGCTGTTAAAACTTGGCCCTGTCCATTGTTTAACCAGTCTCAGAGTGTTAAATCAATCTTTGTTTTGTAGACATGACACAGAATCAGAACTTGAAGCAGTTATTTGTCTAACCAGTCTCTGTTAAATCAATCTTTGTTTTGTAGACATGACACAGAATCAGTCTTTGTTTTGTAGATATGACACAGAATCACAAACAGTTATTTGTCCACTGTGTCCAAGTGCTGAATACTTATAATGTGGATACACAATCTGTAGAGGAACATGTCAACAGATATCTCAAAGAAAATGGGGTAATTGTTTAAAAAATCATTAAATGTAAATGTGCAGGTTTCCTATATATACATACACATGTACATGTATATATGCATATATGTGATACTCCACATTTAGAATAATGCTGAAATGCAAATTAAAGTTTAAATGGTGGGGTATATTTCAATGAGACAGCAACCCAATAACAACAACAACAACAAAAAAAGACATCTAGTAGTCATCATAGAGTCTTCAAAGTTCTCCTTCATATTTTCAAATACCATTGTGGGATTTGAAATCTTCCCTAAAACCTTGTTGACCCCCATTATGGACAATTGAAACATGCTCAAAGTTACCATGAGAACAAGTGGAAAAAATACAGATAATGATCTTTTATAAGATGATAAACTATCAATGGTACTTTTTAAGTGGTGTAAACTATCAATGGTAGTTTGTAAGTGGTATAAACTATCAGTGGTATTTTGTAACTGGTGTAAACTATCAATGGTATTTTGTAAGTGGTGTGAACTATCAGTGGTATTTTGTAAGTGGTGTAAACTATCAATGGTATTTTGTATGTGGTGTAAACTATCAATGGTATTTTGTAAGTAGTGTAATATTATCTATATTTCCTACATTCTCTTCCAAATTTATTTTCAAAAACTTGACAAGAGGTTTAAAATTCAAAATTTAATATTTCAACTAGACATAGTTGACTTTTATTGTAAAATGTGAGAATTATTATTTCTTTTTTTTGGGGAAAGAAGTTAGCTGGATCAAATTAAGGAGCTTATTATTTTTTTTTTTAACTGGTCTAAAAATCATTTAAATCCTGGAAGGTCAGGTTAATGCTCATTTCTGAATGATATGCTTTATTAATGGCCATTGTAGAAAAAAATCATTTGGAATTTTATTTGTGTCCATGTTTATTTTAGATCTTTGATGAAAGTGACCAAACTTTCATTGTTGAAGTTTTTTCTGAATGTGTGAGATATTCCAACTTAATGGAAGTTGTCCTAAATGGTTTTTACAATAAAGATGGAAAAACTACACTTCGTTCAGAACAGAACTTATATCATGGTAAGTATAGAAGACAATTCATGTCTAGCTTATGCTCTTATAATTTGGTAAATGAGGTGTAGATGTTGTTTTCAACTTATATTTTATTTCTTATGTGACAACTTATAAATGTTAAACGTGTTACTCTGAAGATGAGATACAGCATCAACATAAAGGCTACATGTCACATTGATATGGGGCAAGCTTAATGATATGTCATTGTGACATGCTTGAATTTTGTTAAAAAGTTAGTTATGGTATTAGAACTGGTTTAGATTAGACATTTGTTTTCAAGATTATATTTAAATATGACAATTCTTATATCATCCATTGACCCATATAAGATTCCAGCTAAGGCCTCGGGTGATATGGGAGTCTTTGGATGATTTAAGGGCCATAATTGAAAATTATGTTTAAATATGTAGTGATAAGTTTGGTAATTGGTAGAAACTGATATTGTAAGTTATACATTTTGGAAGCATGTTGGTCTTCATAAAATAAATATGCTTCAGTCAACACTCTGCACACCATTAAACTATGTTTAGCCCAATACTTTCTGGTGGAACTTAAAGCAGGTTAGGAATGACATCCCATTCAATTCAATTTTGCCATGGAGTTAAGTACATGTGCATAAATTTGTTATTTTTTAAGCATCTGCTATATATCATATTTTTTTTTATTAATCTCTTGTTTATATGCATGTGTGTGTATTTTAATTTTCACCATGGTTTATATACATGTGTGTGTATTTTAATTTGCACCATGGTTTATATGCATGTGTGTGTATTTTAATTTGCACTGTGGTTTACTTGAAAATGTACATGTGACCTTTAATGGTTTACTTTTATAAATTTTGACTTGGATGGAGAGTTGTCTCATTGGCACTCATACCACATCTTCTTATATCTATGTAACTTTTGAAATATATCTTCATGGACCTCAGTTTAATGCAAATTATGTATTTGGCTTCAAGTTTATTCTCAACTGAGTATAGAATATTGTATGATTATTTAATAATTTAATATTTCAGTGATTTGTTACCTGGCAACCTTCCGATTAGATGAACTTGGAATGGCTCACTTCAGAAAGTTTGTTAGCTCACAAGATATCAACAAAATGTATAGGGTAGGTAATACTCATAAAACCATTGACTAGATTACTAATTTATATGCATGTGAAAAGGGCTTATAATAATTTTAAATGACTTGAAATTTGAATAAAAACCAAAACACTTGAATTTTTGCACTTAGTTTTTATGCACAATTTTAAATTTAAGTCTCTTTATGTTATTTCTGGTGAATTATAATTTTTTTCATTCTTGTTTTAAAATTAAAAACAATGTTAATATGAAAAATAATGAGAGCATAGATATCAGCTAATGGTATTTGTTTATTTGTTGTTCTTTCTAAATAAAGTAAGACATTTGAGGTTATTAGATCAGGTCAGGCCAAATATAAAATAAATCTTATTGTGAGAAAACAACATGTAAATATTTGGAATTAGTGAGTGGCAGCTCAGTATATTATTTAGTTCATCTCATTAGAAATGGATGACCTTCATGAAACAAATATGTCTCTTTATTCTTGAAATTCTTATGAAATCTGTTTATTACTCCAGCTATCTCCTGACTTTTAAAATGTGTGTTGTATTCCCAAATATCAAAGAAGTACATGTTACATGTCAGCTCTTAATGCCATCTTGGTCTTTGCTATAAAACTTCATATTGAAAGATTGTCAAAATATTTTCAAGCTGAAGAAAATCAAAATAAGAACTCAATTTCAAAGAAAACAATATAAATAAATACAGAAAAAGACTTATTTTCAGTCTTGCAGCATACCCCTTTTAGTTTGAGTTTGTTGTTAAGATTGAAGAGACAATTTTTTTTTCACAGTTTTTATCATTTTTCCTGAATGAGAGGAATTTGCTGACCTGGATAAAAGATGGTTGGGAGAAATACTATGAACATGTGTTTGTACAAACCTCACTGCTGTCCCCATTACAACGGTAAGATATACAATGAAAAATTTTATCTCTGCTAAAAATAGGAAACTTAACAAAGATTAATATAATAGAGGTCTGCATGAGAGTTTGGAGATCTTTATTTCAGTATTCTTTGTAGGCCACGTTTCTCTATTCATTTCATTTTTAGCTCACCCGGGCCCGAAGGGCCCCATGTGAGCTTATGCCATCACTTGGCGTCCGTCGTCGTCCATCGTCTGTTGTCGTCGTCGTCGTCTGTCATCGTAAACTATTTCAAAAATCTTCTCCTCTGAAACTACTGGGCCAAATACCTTCAAACTGTAATTAAATGTTCCTTAGGGTATCTAGTTTATAAATTGTATCTGAAGTTTTGATCCATCAACAAACATGGCCGCCATTGCTAAAAATAGAACATAGGGGTCAAATGCAGTTTTTGGCTTATATCTCAAAAACTAAAGCTTTTAGAGCAAATCTGACATGGGGTAAAATTGTTCAATTGGTCAAGATCTATCAGCCCTGAAATTTTCAGATGAATCGAACAACTCATTGTTGGGTTGCTGCCACTAAATTGGTAGTTTTAAGGAAATTTTGCAGTTTTTTGTTATTATCTTGAATATTATGATAGATAGATATAAACTGTAAACAGCAATAATGTTCAGCAAAGTAAGATCTACAAAAAAAATTTATATGACCAAAATTGTCAATTGACCCCTTAAGGAGTTATTGCCCTTTAAAGACAATTTTACACAATTTGTTCATCAAGTTTGCTAACATTTAAAAATCTTCTCCTCTGAAACTACTGGGCCAAATACCTTCAAACTTCATCTAAATGTTCCTTAGGATATCTAGTTTATAAATTGTATCCAAAGTTTTAATCCATCGAAAACATGGCCGCCATGGCTAAGAATAGAACATAGGGGTGAAATGCAGTTTTTGGCTATTATCTCAGAAACTAAAGCATTTAGAGCAAATCTGACATGGGGTAAAAATATTCAAAAGGTCAAGATCTATCCGCCCTGAAATTTTCAAACACACCGAACAATCCATTGTTGGGTTGCTGCCACTAAATTGGTTGTTTTAAGGAAATTTTGCAGTTTTTGGTTATTATCTTGAATATTATTGAAGATAAAGATAATCTGTAAACAGCAAAAATGTTCAGCGAAGTAAGATCTACAAAAAAGTTTATATGACCAAAATTGTCAATTGACCCCTTAAGGAGTTATTGCCCTTTAAGGACAATTTTACACAAGTTGTTTTATGTTTTTTAACTTTAAAAATCTTCTCAAATGAATCTAGTATAAATTTTGTATTTCATTTCCTTGTACGTCAAGAAACATAGACACTATGGCTAAAATGGAACATATGGGTAAAAAGCAAAAATAATCATTGATGAAAGATTTAAGCAAAAAAAATACCAGGTGAGCGATTCAGGCTCTTGAGAGCCTCTTGTTTTGTCCATCATTCCATATTCTCTACGTTTTAGCACTTCATTATTTTCTTTTCTTTTTTTTTTTTTACCTATTTTAAGGGCCCTCAACAAAGTTGTGCGGGCGATACAGTTTTACCCTTATCCGTCATTCCAAACAAACAGTTATACAGACTTTTTTTCTAAACGCCTTCACTTATTGAGCTAATTTTTAGTATGTGAGACTACTATGATGAGTTACAGATCAAGATTACGTTTGGTTCTACTCCGCTGATTTTTGCCGAAATTACTGGCTTTGGACGTTCAAAAATTTCTTAAAAATAGCAGTTAAACAGACTTTTTTTCTAAATGCCTTCACTTATTGAGCTAATTTTTAGTATGTGAGACTTCTATGATGAGTTATGGATCGAGATTATGTTTGGTTCTACTCTGCTGATTTTTGCCGAAATTACAGGCTTTGGACGTTGAAAATTTCATAAAAATAGCAGTTAAACAGACTTTTTTTCTAAATGCCTTCACATAATGAGCTGATTTTTAGTATGTGAGTCTACTATGATGAGTTACAGATCATTTTGTGAAAATCACAGTTGTACAGACTTTCATTCTCAAATTTTCAGTCCTAAAAATGGCTCCAAACTTTATTGCGAACGAGGGCCATTCATGTCATTCCGACACACCTAGTTGTCTATTCTTTGGTTTGTTTTTTTTCCTTTATTCTGTACTGTTTGCCCATTATTCTCTATTCTGTAAACCCCGACCAGACCTTCGTGCATAGGATGTTATTGCATTCCATTTCCCATAAAGAATTAATTTTTTTTGACAAATGCTTGAAGACACCTTTAATTGTTCTTTTTCACATTATTTGAAAAAGGTAAATTTGGAAATTGATTCGTATATCGTATGTAAAACAAACAACCAAAATCTAGATGAATCTATGGGCTTCCAGTAATTGTTTTGATACAAAAAGTATTAAGTTATATATTGAAACATAATGGAAGATTTTTTGCATTTAATTTTCCATGTATTGTATTTTTCTGAGCAACAAAATTACTGAAATAATATCTTGACAAGCTGATACCCCATGTAGGACACATCACTAAACTCCTTTTAACATTTAGTGTTGATATCTAGTTGAAATACTGAATTTGTTCATTTGTATTTTTAACAAGAATCATTTGAATGTTAAACATTAAACATCATGTTAATTGAAAACTATTTTATTACTTCTGACTGACATGTTTATTTGAAAATTGACATTAATTTAAAACATGGAGAGATGACCGAGTTTTACCTGCAGACATTTAACATAGAAATATCAGAGGAATACATAATGTGTTTACATGATAAATCTTCCAAATTTACATTTAAAAAGTCTGTATATGTTTTGATAAATGTGTAAAGAATATTAATTTCTCAATTCTAAGTTCATTACAATTTCGAGTCAGTTGACATTATGGAAAATTTGACAAGTTGTTTTGACTCTTTTTCTGTCTTTTTTTTTTTTTTGTGTTATTAATTTTTGTCATTAGATGCACTGGACTCTGGAAATTTTCCCTTTTTTGTAGTAAAGATTTGTTTCACTGATACTGTAGATGTCAGTATAATAATTGCTGGTGGTATTACCATATTTATCCTGCAATCAGCCCTCTATTGTAAAAATAACAGGTACACATATAAATTTTTGCTTTATTTGTACTTGTACAAATAAAGTCTCCTGTTACCCGCTTCCTTGTTGAGCAAGCGGTAATATGAATATTTCTTTCTGGGTAACAGTTCATTTTGGGGTCCTCTTCACGGTCTGCGTTTAAACTATGTTGATTTCTTTGAAAAGTCAGAGACAATGATTGGGAAGTAAACAACTAAAGCTCAAGTGCCGGGTGTTGGTTGCAGGTTAAAAACAATATATGTACATTGTCGGAAATATAAAATGTATTTGTACTCGCTACGAAACAGGAGAAAAGCTCGGCAAGCCTCGCTTTTTGTCATGTTTCTAAAGCTCGTACAAATAAATTTTATATTTTCCAACGATGTACATACGTTGTATATTTATTACCGTAATTATTTTAAATACCAATCTAAGAAAAAAATATTGTTCATGATCATTATATTTCAAATAAATAAAATCAATGTAAAGTAAGATTCCCTTGATTATTTATCAAGTGCTTAAAAATCTACCAGTGTTGGGAAATATTAGTTTAAATAAGATGAGGAACTTAATAACAGATATTTATATTTTAAGAAAGTATGATCTCTGATTTTTAAGGTGAAATTTATGTCTCATCAAAATTTGACTTAAATTTAGTGCTTGTCTTTTGCTTACATATTTGACTACATGTTGACAGGTAAGGGCAAAACGAGAGGTCAGAATGGTAATGACTGAAGGGATATTTACCTAAATATTAAAGTATTAAAGTACTACATGTGAACTCTATGTATACGTAATTAAAGCAATTATAAAATTCAAACTATGATTTTGTGTTTTATTTTAAATCACCTGCATGTATAAAAAATTGTTATTGTATTTGTGATATTAAATTTTGCTTTGATTTTTATAAGAATGACCAAAACTTCATAGACCATGTGTATTTCCTTGCTGTTTGTCTTTGGTTGTTTGTTTGTTGTTTCGGAGAAGTCGGGTGTTGATGTGGTCTTATATTTTGTGTTGTGTTTTTGCCTATTCCTGTTACTAGTATTCATTTTTTATGTACCAGTATTATTGAATATCAAATATAGAGAAAAAGAAAACATTACACGGGATTTTAATGCTCCAGAAAAGACCATCTTACAAAAAAAGGCTGTCCCTTGTTCATTTTGAGGTAGTTTTTTTACCAAAATATTTCTAAAGTGAACTATAATATTTAATGGAAACTTCCATGGCATGTGTATTTTAATTGAATTATAGTAAATACTTCATTTTTTCTGTCTTAAACATGAATACAAAGATTGACTGATACTGTCAGATTTAAGTAAATTGCATGAACATTCTCTTCCTTATTTCAAACACATGAGAACTCTCAAATTACCAATAAAAACAGGAAATATTTTGGTAGTTATATGGAGATATTAAACAGAGTATAATAAATTGATGAGAAACAAATTATTCATAGGTCAGCATTCCTTTTATGTGATCATATTTTATCATATATAGAAACAAATTTGTACCATTTATTCAGCACAGATAACATTTCAAATAAAGGTTTATTTTAAAAGGTGACTGCCTTCGAGCTTAACTTTTTTGAACATCTGACCAGATAATCGGTCAACTTTGGTGTTGACTCATAAGTCTAGATAACGAGACATTTCTCCCTGTATAGTAATACCCCAACACTTCAGGCTAGTTGTGTAAATATTTGTCAACAAACTTTATCAGCTATTAATAACCAAACATTTGTTCTGTTTATCAGTAACAAGGTCACTCATCAAGAAAAATAACACTGGATATTTTTTATAGTCATGTGATCTTGGGAGTTTTAAATGTTTTATGAATCAGATCTCCTTTAACATAATTGATTATTGATGTTTATTATTTGGGAACTGTTCAGTTTTATTTGTTGTGGTTAAGAATAACCACTAAAACGTAGATATAGAAAAATGTAACACTTGACTTCATTTGAAGGACATTGTGAATATAAATAGGTTTAATTCCTTTCTACAGAAAACTTTTCTTAGTAACAGTTCTTGAATTAAGGGCTAACAAATTAAAGACCAAAAAATTTGAGTTATTGCAATTTAACTGTTATATAAAAAGTCCTGTCCTAATTTGTCTGTCCACATAAAGGTGAAGTCTTAGTTAAGGTATTTGATAAAAGTTTAAAACTGAATCATATAAGAAGAGTAGAGTGGATATTTCAAAATTAATTTCAAATCTGAACAAATGTATACATATCTTGTTTTTGACTATTATATTTACTGTGACTGGACTGTAAGTGTTGCTCTCCACCAATTGCAACTTATTCAAAACTCTGACCAAATTGCAATTTGTTTTATAAAACGGAACTGTTCAACTGGTCAGAAATTTGAACAAACTACTGAAGAAAACCACAGTAAAGTCGTAAAAGTGCAAGGTGATAAAATAAAACATACTTACAATCCTATAAGACTTTAATTCCACTTCAATGATGTTATGAAAAATCAGTCTAACTGTTTTTCATGCTAAAGGTGATAGGTAGTAATTTTGAATTGCTATATTAATGTCCAAACTAAGTTTTCATACAATTTTTCTTTCGAAAAGTCTTCTATATTCATAAGAATCAGACATCATTTAAATTAAAACATCTTATATTCAGTAAAATATATGTGAAATCACAATATGTTGTTAATTAGTTTCCATGGGAGATAACCCAAAATCATTATTCTTTTGAATATAGAAGACTTTTCGAAAGAAAAATTGATTATCTCCCATGGAAACTTCCTAACAATGTACTGTAATTTCACACATATTTTACTGATATAAAGAAATAACTCAAATCTTAACAAAGGATCAACGATAAAGGACAGGGGGGAAATGACTGAATCAAAACAGGAAAAAACTATGATAGTAAAAGATTTGATTCCCTATGTAAACCAATCGAATAAGATATTTCCATTCTATGGCAGTCAAACAAGAAATATGTTAGGACACCATCTCATGTAATTGAGTTTATTCCTCATAAATTCAATTTTAATTACTTTCAGATGGATGCCGGAAATTGATGACATGTTATCATTGATGAAAAACACAATTGATAACCGATTAAAACCAAAATCCAGAGCAGGTTCTGTCACAGGTAAATAATCTCCGTCATTTACTATGCAAAATAGAAAACATTGACACACTACAGGTATTACAAATTCTTAAGGCAGTTTGAGTTATTTCCCTTAGTTTAATAGGAAATTCTTAAAAGAGTTCTCGTTTAATAGAAACAAAACAATTTTTGCTATAAAAATTGTATTCATTTTTAGGCTGCTTTATTGATGAAACATGAAGTTCAATTAAACAAAAATTGAATATGAAGGAAATAATATGAAATAAATGAGGAGATGTTGTATGTATGTCAATGGGACTGTGATGCAAAACACAATTGAACAAAGTAGACATTTGCATCTACAAAAAGACTATGAATCTGAATTATGAATGTGTCTTCAACAGAATGAGTTACATACATGTATAGCACAAATTCAGAAAAAAAATTGTCTTGAATGGCTCCCTTTCTGTCTTTTTCAGAGACCAGACCTTTTAACATAACACAACCTAGACCTAGAAGTATTCCTGTACCTGAACCTGTAAGTCAATTGTTTTGTCTTTAAGAGATATTGTTCATATCATGGACAGATATACTACTCATACAAAACTACCAATGTACCTAAGTGCTTTTATCATGGTTAATAATAATATATCTTTAATCAATGGCAATAGGACTAAACCAAGGTAAACCACTGATGATATTCAAACTAGGGACCAGTGTTGATATGTTTATTCATTTTAGAAAATATTCTCAGATTAAATCTTCAGGTAAAATCATTTGGACATGCCATAACTGTTTCAAATTACTTAGAAAATTCATAATTGTGTAAGGACATTTTTGTGGATTCATCAAACTAATTTCAATTACTAGACATCAGTCTATGGTTTTACTGTTAAAAGTAAAAATCTTTTGGCTCCATTTAACATTGCAATATTAGAATCAGTATGCAACTTTTAAATCTAAGATTTGTGTTTGCAAAAACTAAATCTCCTTGTATTTTGTTTTAGATACCAAAGTTAAAGAAACACAAACCAGCTCCTGTGACACTATATGATAAACCTGTAGAGATAGAAATGATACAGAGAACCAAGGAAGCTAATAGAAGAAGGGCTGAGGTAAAAAAAAATGGCTGACAAAACATGAGGCAAATACTAGATTAATATTTACCTCATGTTATTATTATGTACACCAAAAGCTTTGTGATTGGTTAACAATGTCCTAAACAATGGATATTTGACCAATGGTGTAACAATAGTATCATTTTGGTTAAAGAACAGTGATATTACCAATAATCCCTTAGATACTGAAACAGCAAAATAGAACAAATGTCTAATACAAAAAATTGAATTAGTCCTACTAATGAATTTTTGGGGACTATAGAATGATAGAGTATTTTCTCAAGATTTTTTTTTCCTGCAAGATGAATGTTAGTACATAAAGTTAAGATTTTCATGGTTGTTTTTTGTTAAAGCAATTAGTATATTATCAGTAATTGAACACATGGTTTTTGTTTCGTTTACTCTAAAATTGCACCTTGACTTACATGTCAGACATTGACCTTATTTGTTTACCATCATCAATGGAGCCACACTTACATTGCTAGCCCTTTTACCATGGAAAGGAAACACGAAATGGCATAATTTTTTCAGAATAAGAATAATACAATATGTAGAGATAAATTGTAATCCATAGGCATAATCTCATGACACAACTTGTAAAAAGAGTGATTTGCTTTAGATAATTGGTAAGATTTTGAACTTCTGTAAAACTATAAAGATTTGTTTTTTTATTTTAAGGGTTACATTTGAATACTGTAAATTCAGAAATTTTTGCGAGGTTTTTATTAATGCAAATATAGCGACTGGGTGAGTATCACAATAAAAAGAACTCACATTTTGATATATGACGCCTATATCTGTATGCAGATGTTTGATGTTCCTGAAATCACAATAATTAATCTCGCATTTCTGTCCATTTTTAAAAAATCGCAAAAATAAATGAACCCAATAATTTCTGAATTTACGGTAGTTTATTTATTAAGTAAAACAATTTGCATTCAACCTTAAAAAGTGGGACATACATATTTGGTGATATGGTTTGCAAATACAAACATAATCTGTATAAGTAAGACTGGTTTTTTATTTTACAGGAAAGATTAATGGAAGCTTCCAGGTTACAGTATGCCTGTGCAAATCCAAATAAATCACAGAAAACCAAGGAAATTATAAGCAATATAATCTATGAGGAAGAAAGTAAAATAGACTTTGAGAAACATAAAGCTAACCCAACTCCTGCTTTCCTGGTATGTAAACAAATAATATGTTAAAACGTTCAGGGAAATCAAACTTTTGTATGGGCTTTTCTTTTAGTTAGAAAAGTTTAATGTGGCAATGGATATATATATATTCACTAAGTTTTTGTTTTTTTTTAAATATGAAATAACACATTAAAAAGAATGATTGTATAATCAATCATTATGCTTTTACATGTACTTTACAAGTTTAGTTATATGCAAAAAAATCTTTTTCAATAATTATTATGAAGAAATATATTAGTAGGTTAAATTACAGTGATATGAAAAAACATGATCTGAGACATGGAATTAAAAGAAATTTAATTGCTTTTAGAGATTGATGAAGTTTCGACAGGTTAGAAGTTGCATGCATGCAAATGTATAATAATGCATGTCGTATTTCCCATAATATACATTGTACATACATAATCTACCATCAAATAATTATAGAATCATTACTTAAAGACATTGTGTATAGAAAATATACAACTAGTGACTAAATAAAACACTAGTTTATATATGACTGTAGAGCATTTTTCTAAATAAGAATAGTAATTTTATGTTTATTAAATTAATTCTGGTGAAACGCAACTAAAACATGGTGGGAATCGAATTAAACCTTTTTACTATTGTCCTATACTCTCATGTTATATAAAATAGTCTTTAGGTTGGGTTGGTGTCTCATTGATATAAACCTAACATCTTTTTTTCATCCTTTTGTGAAATTGTTTATAGGATTAACATAGAGTAAAATCAGGATTTAATTATCCTCTAAATTGAGAGAATACAGGATATGTGTTAACAAGAAATCATGGTATTTCAGTGAAATAATTTTACCAGTAGCAATGTAATACACAATGATTATTTACATTAGTCATTTATATTTGTCAGTCATTAAACCATGTATGCTTTATAGCTAGAACAAAAATACATATTAAATTGCATAAATTAAGTAACCTAAGATAAGATTTCTTTTACTCAAAATTATTCAAAGTGTAATTTTCAATTTGAAAAACTTTGTTTAAAAGGAGGTGCTTCACATTTTAATAAATTACAGCTGTTAGAATAACAGAACTATAATTTGTGAAGAATTGATGGATTTGATAAAATATGTAAACAGAATTGAGATAAGATTTGCTAGAATAGACTTTTCTGCTCTTTGGTCGGGTTGTTGTCTCTTTGACACATTCCCCATTTCCATTCTCAATTTTATCTTAGTATGTACAGCGTATCATTATATTAATTTCAATGTTTGAATATTCAGACAGCATGATTTGTTCTGTGATTTGAGGAAGTTATTTATTTCCATTTGTTTGTCATTAAGCTTGTTTAGAGAAAACAGTACATTTTACTATTATAAGTCATTAAAAGAAAGTCTTGTGTTATTTACTTTTTATTGAAAATATCTTGTTGAGACTTACTATCTCTACTTTCACAGCCACTGTGGAAAAAGTTTAAATTGGCTAAGAATTAAGAGAAAGTAAAATATTGTATTAGTTCTCTGAAGACAAGATATTCTGTATACAAACTGTCATAATGACAGTAACATGTGAATAAAATAATGTTTCCTTATGGAGTTTCAAGGGATAAAATTAACAAAAAATTTAAATCTTATTTTATTAACTATTTACAGGAAACAATTCTGAAATACTGTAATAGATAGTATTCAGATTTTTTAGTTTTGTTAATTTGATATTCTTATGTTATGTTCACATCAAACGATGAAAATGACACAAGGCCTAGTTCCCAATTAAATAATTAATTTCATGAAGAAATTTCTTTTATCTCCCCTTAGGCAATATTTAAGGGAGACAATTGACTAATGGTTCTTTTTATGGAATTAGCTCCCCTGATTGATATTTCAGATTAACAATGTTTGAAATTTATAAAATGTCTCCATTAAACTGTAATTTAGAGGGAAAAAACTGATTAATGTTTCTAATTATAATAAATTACGAAGCTGTATCCTCCAAATAAATATTGAAGGGTGAATGGAGATAATCGACTAATTATTCTCATTTCATATTGAGGCTTGCTTGCTTATGACATTTAACACATATTATGTTATATTTCATTGTTAAGTCCACTCCAGAGATATCAGATATGACCCCCACCAAATGGAGGGCCATACTTGTAAGTCTGTGATGAAATGTATATATGTGGTAGACGGTTGTGTTTTTTGTTGTACAAATTGTGGCACTTTTAGTGTGTGTAAAATCTGAATACAATTTATCAATTCTTTAATAAGCCAGTAATGCAATTAAGAAATAAGAACTTTTGTAGTAAAATACTTTTTTTCTGTTTTTAATTTATAACTAGATAGTAACAACCTCCAGGGCTGAGGTATTTCATAATCATTTAAAGATCGAGAGACTTTTTTTATGCTATTCTAATTTTCAAATAATTTGAAGTTTAATTTAATTTCTGCACATAAAAATCATTGCAAAAATGACAAGGTTTCATCATTTGGGCATATTTATCTGCTGCTGTGCTGCATTTCGCATTGATGACATTCTTATTTTAGCATCTGCAATCATTAGCTTTCAAGTAACTTTTTTATGTGATTCATTTGATTTGTGATGTGCATTTGTGTGTCTTCTTGATAATTTTGCAGTATTTTTTCCAAATGTCTTTTTCTGTGAAAACTGAATATAGTGATTTTAATTACACTCTCTTATTTTATGGTAAATTGTCTTCTTTTCTTATTTTGGAAATTCTTAACATCCAAATTCTAAGATAGTGTTCAATGTATGAAAATATCACATGTATATAGAGAGATTAATGTGACTGTAATAAGGTTTTTAAAAAAATCAAACATTTATCTTAGTAAGATTTTTACAAGATAGAATTGAAAGTAAAACAAATTTTAAAGTATTGAGGAAGGTTTGAATAGTATGCCAGATTTTGATAGCCCACAATCATATATCACATGGTGAAAGGATGCATTTTAGGGAGTATAGCAGCCGCTCACAAAAGAAGGTCACACTGACCTACTTTTTGGCACATCATTTCCTTCAAATCAGTTTTTTTTCTAGGTTCAGATCTAAGATACAAAATAACCAACAATCATATAACTTCATCTCAGGATGTGTTTCAGCTAATTTTGTAATTTAAAAATTTTCATGTTTTAATAATAAGCATACCTGCCAACTTTTTAAAATCAAGTATGTAATCCTTGTATATGTCAAAAGCGTCTTGAATCTAATATACTGTGGTTTTGAATGAGTATAATGTTTCCTTTAAATGGCTTTTTAATGCCTTTGAATGCCTTTCTTGAGGTATTTTTTTGATAATCAAGAGTATTTTAAGAGTAATATCAACATCTCTCATGGGAAAATCCCTGATGAATAGGGAAAGTTGACAGGTCTGCAACAGATTATTTTACCATATTGACTGCTCTTGCATTTTCATCTACTACTGGTAGGCTTTAAAGAAAAAATATTTGGTTAAGTTAAATAAAGATGTATTGATGGTAGTTTCTAAGGACAGGTAAAATACTCATTTCTTTGCCAACTCTAACTCGTAAATTAGAAATCAAGAACCAATCATTTCAACTTATTCATATTTCATGTAATGCTATTATACATTTCATTTTCTAAATGAGTAACAGCTCCTCTCTGAAATCCATGTCTTTTATATTTTTTCATTTATTTTTTTTCGCAGAGTCGAGAAGTTCCTGTAAAAATGAATACTGCCCAGATTTTAAGAGAAGGAAAGTTATATCAACAGAGGGAAGAAGAGATTATTAAAAAGTAAGACACACCTAAACAGAAAAATTTTAAACACATCAACTAGTCAACTTCTAGCTAGCAATCCTAAAATAAGACAATTAAATCATTCATCAGTTCTTCAACTAGTAGTTACTATCCACTTTACTAAAACACCACCGGATTAAATCTCAAGCAAGGTTGGAGCAGTCTATCACATAATTTACTGTATAAGCATAAAATTTCGTTGTGGGTTTATAATGTTAATTTCCTTGGAGTAGGTGTTATCCACAGAATTAAAATCCTATAAAAAGCATCACTCTCTCAAACTGGAAATTAATCCTAATGAAATCCGTTTTAGAGAAAAAAAAGAACAAAATGTACAACCATTTGTAAATAGTTTTGATTCTTCAGTATTTACTCAGTAAATTTCCATTGATCATGATAGAATCTTTATAAAGCATTATTCTGTGTGTATTCCCTACAAAATGAAATTCTTTTTTAAAGCAAATTGAAGTAAACTTTTTCATGTTTAAAATTTTGAGGGTAAATAAATAAAAAAAAATGCATGGAAACTGATTTTGAAATTATTCCTGTTCTCTGTAACTGAAGATTGAAGTTATAATGTTTATCTATAACACAATTGATTCCACTGAAGATTAATCTCATGTTGTTTTCTCATGAGACGTAAATTAATTGTTTGTATCTGAATATTTAATGAGGGTTAACACTATGAAGCTAACTTAAGGAAGCATAAATCAATTGTCTGTTCCTCTTCATTAATGGTAAGTAAAGTTGACTTTTTTATGGGGATTAGTTTCATTAAATGGGAATCTATTTGATATTCAAGGTTAAAAGTCTGTTATTATAAAGGTATTTCAATATTATCATTGGTCACAGTGACTATAGTCAAACCTGTATTAAGCAGTCATTCATGGGAAGTATTAACTACAGTCAAACCTGTATTAAGCAGTCACTCATGGGAAGTATTAATAGTGGCATCTCAAGAGAAGTGACCTTTTAAATGATGTTCCGAAAAATTCCAATTCTGACATCGCCTGTGACCAGGATCACTGCAAATTATTTGAGTGTTTTCGTTCTTTGGCCAGTGAAATAAAAAAATGATGGATTCCGGCATTGTAAATTGGAAAAAAACTTTCAAAAATATGTTAATATTCGTGGAGAAATAAGTCTGTGATACTTTTTTTAATGGAAACTGAAACTATTCACACAATCAGATCATGAAAATGTCACAATTTACAATACTTGGGACAAATCACATGATAGTATGCTGATTTTTTTTTTGTAGATTAGAGAATTTAGAAGCTGGTGCAAAAGATGCTAGTGACTTTTTGAAATGGCAGTCTGAAATGAGACAGAAAGATCTGGAGAGCAAACTAGCAGACATAGAAAGAAGGAGATTAGGAGGGAAGCTAAGTCATGAGGAAGCCATCTTTGCCAGGCAGAATCTCATCAAAGATAACAAACAAAAAGTTCTAGAAATGAAGGAAGAGGTTTGTTTGAACTTGAATAATTACCAGCATCAATCACTGATTTTACTGTTGTCAAATGACCATTTGTAGTGATAAATTTCAGCTTTTGTAACAATAAATTGTACATCAATTTTTTTTCAAAGGGAGGTAATTTCACTTACTTATGCCTCTGATTTAATTTTTTTTGTATAACTCACTTAGAAGAAATGTAAAAAAAAATCTATTATTAATTTTTGTATATGCCTATGCTTACACGAAATTATTTTATTTTTAGACTAAGCAAATGATGCAAGAATTCTTAGAAAAAAAATTTAAAGAAGAAAAAGAGATGAGGTAAAGAAATCAAAATATATAATAAGGTTATATTAATTACCATAGGATGTTGTATTTGTACAAACAAGAATCAAAGACTGCATAAAGGAACTTTAATTTTCTTCCATATTTTTCACAAACAAGTAAATCTCCCTCTTTTGGGATTTAAGATGAAGGGTTTTAAAGTAATATATGATGAATAATATCGTACAAATAATATCTTTCAAAACTACAGAAAAAATGCTGCTAGTTTTTTTTTGTTTCTTATATGACTAGTTTGTAAAATAATTTACAATTTCATTTTATGCACCAAAAAGTGATTTTCCAGTTTGCATATTGTATTTTATATTGAATATGATAAAAATAGTTTAACATAGATATTTTCATTGTTCTGAATAGAAACCTTGTTGAAGAAACTATGCAGGGCCACAAGAATACAAAAGAAGCCACAAAGAAATTAAAGGACTATAAAAGAAAAATTGGTATGAATTATTTTATATGAAAAATGCATGTGAAGTTAATATTACAGAATATTCACCCATAAGGTGGCTATTTTCGCTGAAATGATTTTTTGAAATGATAAAAATGGCTGAATATCCATCAGTGAGTTAGCTTACAAGGAATAATATTCTTAATAACAGGTACACATTACAAAATAACAACAATTTAAAAGGCAAACATCCATGATAAACTACCAACTAATGCTGATTTAGTAGCTAGCGTTATTTTTATACATTATGCCTGTGACGAAGTTCCAAAAGGGGATTAAAGCTATTTGCATGAATCACCACTAGGAGCTATAGAAATAGTCAATTTTGATTGTTATAAGGGTCAAGTTAAAAAAAATAAAGTTACTGCAAGTTTTCAGTATTTTGTATATTTTTTGCTTGCATTAGTACACAAAATTAATTATTTAGTACCCATGCTTGTCTTTGCTTTGCAGACCATTGGATGTTATGTTACTTTACCTCATGTAGCGAAAAATAAATAAAATGAAGGGTCTCTTATTAGAAGCTGACATCACAGAGGGTCTGAGATTTAACATTTATTGTAATCACTGTGCTTGACATTTTTCAAATGATTTCAATATATTATATAAAAGTTTACAAACAAAAAACATTTTTAAGTTGCTACTGTCTGCAGAAAAAATGAAACATTTAATATATCTTCTCAAGTACTCAAGCATTTTTACGTCTTTGGCTTTAAAAATATTTGGATTGAGGGTTTCATATGGAGGTTAATAAAAAAAATCTCTTGATGCACCAAATTTACAAAGTGTTATTTTCAATTTTAAAGCAAAGCCAGCAAAATTTTATTCACCCAAAAATGTAAACTCTTAGTTAAAACATTTTACTATACTTTTTTTCAGTCCAGGAAGTCAATGAAGAGAGCAAAGAGCTAATGAAACAGGCTTTGGAAGAGGTAGGCAACTAATTTTGATAAAATCTTCTTTGCATACAAAAAAATTAAAATAAACCTAATACTACCAGTGAGACAAGTATCCACGGAAGTCCAAAAGAACAAAAAAGTTTTATGTACATATTAATAGATCAGCATATGGCCCCTTAATTTGAATATCATACCATAAGGTGAGCTTTAAAAGCCTGATTAAACAAAATGTCAAAATTCATACAAGAGTACCAAAGGCTTTATTCAAATCAATTATAAAAAACATATAAAATTTGACAAGAACAATACTCCGGAACTACCTACATCTTGCTTGTGACCAGGAGGTTACTTATGTAGCACAGTCAAACATGATTATGACCTGCTCTTAACATTGGACAGTAGTTTGACAGCAAAGCAGTACTAAAATGGACTTTAATCACAAGAGTACTTAGGACAAAAACAATAAGAGAAATAACAAGAAAAGTACTACCAACCTTTAGAGCACTTTTGCTAGTTTAATATCTAAAGAATCCGTCTGATTTATATCGATCATGTTTCTAGACTTGAATTTTAGTTGGTAGTTACTTTTAAAAAGTTATTGACTTGCTGTCTTATATTATAATTATATTTCTGAAATGTCTCTTTTACAGGCTGAATTGGAAATGCGAAGAAAAATGGAATTAATACACCAAATAAAAGCCATGGAGGCTGTTCCTATCATACGACAGAAATTAGTGGACCTTTCTGAATCTGCTGGTCATGGTTTACTGAGTGAAATGTCTATAGCAGAGGTAAGTTTAGTTTTTATCAACAATTCATATGAATGTATTGTGTTAGGGTGCTTCAAAAATTTTAAGAGATTCTCTCCTACTTTAAAAAGATAGGTTCCGCTATCTATTATTTTGTTTGAAAAGTTGAATATAACAAAAAAGAACTGATAAATATTGTTGTGCTTGCTTTATAGTGTCAAGTGAAAAGAACAACATTTCATGAGAAAAGTAATAATTTTATGCTTAAACAACACAATTTTCTAATAGAGAAATCTGTAAATGAAACAGATTGGTATAGGGAGATCTGTAAATAAAACAGATTGGTATAGGGAGATCTGTAAATGAAACAGATTGGTATAGGGAGACCTGTAAATAAAACTTTTTCTTATAGAGAGATCTGTAAATATTTTCTTTTCTTATAGAGAAATCTTTGAATAAATAAATATTTATAGAGGAAAACCAAATGCCACACTTTAACATTGAAGAAATAAATTGTTTGAATATATTTTGGAAGCAGATTTGGGATATGGATTTAGTTACTAGATCTTTTAATACTAAGATTTGCAATTCTTTCTTAACAGTTAAGAGAAAGAGTTTCTTTATGTAAAGCTGCAGAGAAGGAATCAGAGGAAAACAGAAGAGATGACATACTTCAGAATAAAGAGGCAAGTTGTATTTTCTAGCAATTTATTTGTATTGCAGTGTTTAGCAAGGGTTCACATGTTTACCTAAAATAAAGTCTTTCTTTGGTGAAATTGAAAAAAATGTATTGAGAAAATCTTTTATTCTATTTCAATAAAAAAATGGTCTGATTTGGTCATTTGCTATTTCCAACAATATGTCTTTTTTTTATGTATACACAAATTATGACAATGTCTGTTTGTTCTTGTTATTGTTTTAAACACCAGACAGATTTTTAAAGCTAAATTAAGAATTATAGATATGATCTAAGGGAGATAATTCATTATAAATTTTTAGTGTTTTAGTTTTAATAACTTGATCAAGAAAAGTTGAACAAAACTACTTTTACCATAGAATCTATTTTATTGAGGCATAGAATTGAATCAAAAGTTGAAGGAACAATTTGAAGTTTATCTTTCAAAGGTAAGGGCTAGTTTTGGCCTATTGTTCAAAGTACATCTAATGAAAGATTTTTGACATTTTTTAAACACTTAAGTGTCTACCTCAGTGGATTCAATTAGTTCATGTAAAAGATTGGGACTGATTTGGTCATTAAAGACGCTCAAATTCAAGGTTAATTATGAAAAATCTATCAAATATGCCATAAAACATCACTTTTCAGGTGGTTTTTGTCTAAAATGTAAGTGGCCGCATTCGTGTTCAGTCTCAACCTTTATATATGTTATGGATTATCATCAAAGACAAAATATATTTAAATATTAAGACTGAACACAAATGTGGCCACTTCCATTTTAGACAAAAACAGTTTTAAAATTAGCACAAATGCTAAAATTGTGAAGATTTCAGTAATATTGCATGAATTTATGATGCTATTACCTGATGCATGTGCATTGTATTGTCAAAAACAGCCCATATTTATGGAACAGAAGTATTCTTCTTTCCAATAAATAGCTAAAAGTTTACATTTTAACAAAATTGGTAAAAATGCTATATTTTGGGGCCAAAAAGGGGTCTTACTGGGGCCTACTTCTTTTCACAATAACAAAAAACTTAAATTTGTAACTATTCTTTAGTTCAAACTACTCATCACTTGGTTTTACAAGAATGCATGAAAGGTAATTTTTTCCACATTTATAGTATGATATCTTACACTTTGCAGGCTAAAGATCAGCTCTTACTGAATACATTAGAAACAATTTCTAAACACAGACTAGAACAAACTAGAGCGGCTGCCACCAGGTATAACTGTATTGAAAATCAGATTGTCCATAGTTTAATTAGTTTAGACCTGTTACTTTGTTATACTGAACAATGACTCTAAAAGAAAATAGTATCTGCTATATTTATTCCACTACATAAACTTCTGATAATTATAGAATAACTAATCAAAGAATTCAAATTTAGAAAAATATTTAAGAAATGACTCAACAACACATTAATTCATGTACATGTGTAGCACATGAGATAATTGTTATTGTTGGTCGGTCACTAGTTGAAGATTTTTAGAAATTTGATTTCTTGGATAGGTTATTCTTTTTATTACATTGCTCATGGAATTTTTAATGGTAATAAAGTAGAAAATGCAAGGAACTATATCTATTTCAACCCATTTTCAATTTATCTTGAACAGCATTGACAATGTCTTGACAACACCCATAGTTATATGACGTCAGAGTAGTAAATTATCAAATTCATTTCGCATGTGAAGTAATCAGTTTTTATATGCCCATTTATGGGACGTATTATGGTATACCGTTGTCCATCTGTCCGTCATCAACATGTCGGACAATAACTAAAAAAATGCTTTAACTAATTTGCATGAAACTTTGGTGAATTGGTAATATCTATTGACCTGAGTTCCCTTTCGATTTTTAAAATTTTTATATTTTACGTTTCCGAGTTATGGGGTTATATTCATTAAAAAGGGTGATTTTCCAGTTTTCAGACAATAACTCAAAAATGCTTTGAGCAGTTTTCATTAAACTTTGGTAAATTGTTTATATCTATTAAAATAAGCTCCCTTTAGTTTTTGTATAAATTTCTGATATGACATTGAGGAGTAATGGAACTTAATTCTTTGAAAAAGCGACAGGCGTATCATGCGCTCATAGCGCAGCTCTTTATTACTCTATTGAGAAATCATGACATTTCATTGCATATAATTCAATAAATATAGATATCTCTGGTTAGGCTAGGAAGTAAGTTGTATATAAAGCTCAGATGTCTTATAATCTCATGAAGGAGTTAAATTTTTCATGCTGAAATATCTGATAAATAAAATATGATCATAACAAGAAAGAAGTACCCTCCTTTAATTTCCCAAATCTCTTCAAAACAAATCCGTAGTTTGGAAAAAAAACATTACAAAGAGTTTTTCACTAATAACTCTGATGCATTTCAATTTTGCTAGCCTACACCCATGAAAGCTATGCCAAAATGATTGAATCCATTATACTACATCATATTATTGAAAAGTTAGAAATAGTCTATTTGCCAATTTGGTAATTGTTCCGAAGTCCATGTGTACAAGTTATTTCCAATAGGAGGGACATATATTTTCTTTGCCAATGGAGAGCAAATTTACCTGTGACTAATGTATGTAATCTGTAACTTTAACAAAGCTTTTCAACTACATATAATATTTTGTTATAACATCTATTGATATCAAGTTATTTTTCAATAAAAAAAAATTGATTGTAACGCATATATACTTTCAACTGATCATGTTTTGAATGGGCAGCAGTCCATTTTGTCCAGTTGAAAACTAGTCGACAATTGGCAAGGGGAAACAACTTGTGTTAAAAGTGTAAAATAACAGGATCAAATCAGCAATAGGCAAACAGTCTTTTAGACTGATAATGCTGTAATCTGTCATCTAGAAGTATGGTGATCCCTAATCCACTGAAACAGAGATAGCTTTAATTATTTTGTTAATAAAATATAATACCTAATAAGTATTTATTAAGAATTCAAACTTTTTCTTTTTTCAGATTAGAAACTAAGAAGAAATCAGAACCAAAGAAAATAGAATTGAAAGATGAAAAACTCACAGAATTACAGAAGAAACTTGAAGAGAGAAAAGCCCAGAGAATGAAAGAAAGGGAAGCAGCTAAATTAGGAACAAAACGGAATTCAGCTGATAATAGAACAAGAAGTCTTATTAATCAGAAGGTATTGTATCAAGCCATGATTTGTGCTTTGTTTGTTAGTGTTTAACCAGGGCTTCCAAAATTATTTTTAGCCAGCCGGACATTTTATATATTATCCCGATTTTAATCCCTTAAGACTAAATAAACAAAAGGCAATTATGGTAATCAGTTGTCGAGTTGGCCATCCCAATGATTGATATTTAAAAAACGATATTAAACTTTCTTTGATTCAAATTCGAAGTTCTGACGTAAACTGTTAAATTGGCAGTGCATCATCCGAAGTGTGCAACATCAGCGTACTTATATCTGCCTTAGACTCTTTATTTGTGCAAAATAATGTTGTCAAAAACTTTACTTTCGTTTTTAAATCTGAAACCGGATGTTATCTTGACAATGGTAAAACATGGACCAGAGACGGATACGTAAATTCTGTGTACGTTTGCAAAGCATGAATGAGTGTAAGTAGCTCATTCTACATTATTTCTTCAAGAAAATATTCGAAATAAACGTGAGATAAAGGTATCGATGACAATTTAAGCATTTTTTTTAGAAATTAGGATGCATAATTAAATTTCACACCTGCGCACATGCACATGCGCACATGTGTTCTAGTTCAAACAGAGACATGTCTCTGGTACAAACAACGTGGTTATGACGATTTTTCATTTTCACCTCTTTAATTTTTTTATCAAATCTTATTTGTAAATGTATTTCTGATAATTTAAATCTTTTTGACTAAATTAATTAGATGCAAACCGGTGAAATGTAAGAAAATAACTTTGAATAGACCGATCAATGTCCGGTTCAAAATAGTTTACCTGTCACCTGAACAGGTAAATTTCAGCTGTTCGACAACTAATTAGCCTTGATTAAAATGAGAAGGTAATAAAGTAGGGGTTGTTTTGATAGTACTTAATGATCATGTCACTTTTATGACCGGAAATGTGTGGCTGTTAAAGGCAAAAGGTTTGGTCAAAAAGTTCACGAATTATGTTAAAATGACAGTCTCTTAAGAAAGCCTTGAAATCTAAAAAGTAGATGACCGTTTCTTGCTTTGCCCAGCCGGACTTTTACCGGACATTATACAAATGTCCGGAATACATGACCGTTTTGGAAGCCTTGTGTTTAACCTTACTTTCAATGACCATGGCTATATTATGGTGGTCAGTTTTATAGAGGAAGTCGTAGTACCTAGTGAGAACCAACTTCCCTCTGAAAATCCTTTTCAATTAAAATCAAAGGTGATTGCACCTTACCATGAGTATGGATAATTTGTGAGTCCCAGTGGTTCCTTTATCCTTCATTATTTTATCATCAATATATTGTATTCTCTTCAGTTTATTTAAGTATAAGTATGCATGATATTTGGTGTATTGCAAAATATAATAATAATGTAATTACTTTTTGTTGACTTCGAATGAAATTGTTCATTTTTTCCAAAGACATGGATCATCAATTTGATTTTATATATAAAATCCTATCAGTTGACAACAACAATTTAATTTAATTGCTTTAAAATAATAACTTACCTTTTGAGTGAATATTTATTCCAAATTTAAAACAACCTACTAGGTCTGTCATAAATAAATTTACGGTCAACTCGACTTTTAGAAATCTATGAGCCATGTCGTTTAAATTCTTGTTAATTTCATGTCTCCATATTAATATTGTTTATGATGTTATTATTATGTATTTTATTTTGTTTGGTTATTTATTATTTGTATGTAATGGAGAAGACGTTTTAAGTTGCAAAACTTGTGTCTAATCCTATTGTCAATGTTTTTGGACAATAAAATATGTTTAAATTAAAAAATTGCAAAAGCAACCATGTGTCTGAATTGCTAAAAGGTAGTTGTGTTGTTATATTGCACTACTTTCTATGTATTAGAATAGATTTTGATCATGAAATCCATGTGAATTGAAGTCAATTACACTTTTTGTATACTGTTGAAAACAAGTGCACTCAAACAGTTTTGCAATCATTTGCCATGAACAATTCATGATGGAAGTTTATGTTTTTAAGATGATTAGAAAAAAACCAGAACAATGGGTTATGATTAAAGTAGGTATTGTGTGTACCTTGGTATGTAGACATTTGACTAATTAAAAGCATTGGTTTAAAAATACCTGTTTATCTCCAAGTTGTTTTTCAAGGAGCGTTAAAAGAATGTTTCCTTGTAACATTTATGTAAACTGAAATACATATCTATTTATTGTATTGTTTTCTTTTTTATTCTATACTCTTTAAAGTTATTTGTATTTATTGCAGAAAGCCCTAGAAGAGAACAGATGGAGAGAACTTGAGCTTACACAAGAGAGAGCAGCTAAACTAATGGACGGAAGTCTAGGGAAAAGTAAATCTGCATCCCGACTAGCTTCTAATATGGTTATGACATAGACACTCTGGTTGATTTTTATAAAACACACTGTTAGAGGCATTCCAATTTAAGAAAGACTTATTCCAAATGCCTCATTGATTTTGTTAAAGCCCTTTCTGTGATAACTGCTGAAAGTATATATTATGGTCCCTGGATATTTCACAAATAATTGCTAATAAAAAATAAAGTATGAAGGATTATGCAGAAAAGTTTTAATTCTCAAAAATCTAATTAGAATGAAAGGAATAATTATTTGTGAAAAAGTGGCCAGTTTAATGTTTTATTGAGTATTATTTTATTTTTTAGACATAATTTCATGGCTATCAAAACAGGTTACTGAAGGAATATTGAAACCAATGAAATGTTCTTTTATTTAAATAGATTCTCTGAGATAAATTAAAAGAATGTTGATTTTACCATAAAGAGTTTATCATATAAAATACTTATTTTTGGTAAACTTTTGTATAAGTAAAATGTATAAATATTGAATATTTTAAGGACAATATGAATTTATTTCTGTATGTTTTGCTATATTTATTATGGATTGGTTGTATCAGTGTCATAGAACAAAGCATTTTTATAAAAGTTTCAATATGCTGCAGATGAATTTCTTTGGCTAAAACATTAATATCTAGACTATTAAGCTAACAAGTACAATTTTAATTTTCCAGTGACTGTTCATAACCATTTGTTAGGCCTTGGTAATTCATATAGATATATATGTTAAGCTACATTTAAATGACCTGTTTGATGTTCTAGCCACTGAAGTTCTTTTGTACCATCATGAACATTCCATCCACGATGTTACTTTTTACATCAATTGTTTTTATTTTGTGACTATTTATTAAACAATGTTTTGTATTCAGTTGTTCATTATTCATGCTATGCTCAAAATGTATGGTAATGGCTCTGCTTTTTTATTTTCATTTTTGTCTCACCTGCGATGAAAGTCGCAGTATGCGAGACATAGGTATTACTATCCGGCGGCGGCAGCGGCGAAACTATTTGTATAAAGCTTTATATTTCAGAAGGTAGAGGACCTGGATGTTTCATATCTTGTATGCAGATACCTTATGTTATGAAGTTTCCATCTGTCATATGTCCAATGTCCTTGACCTCATTTTCATGGTTCAGTGACTGCTTGAAAAAAAAATAGAGTTTTTTGTGATGTGAATTTTTCACTTATTATAAGTAATAGGATAACTATATTTAGTATATGGGTTCCTTGCAATGTCTACATGTCCGTCAGACAGGATTTACCTGACCTTGAACTCATTTCATGGATCAGTGATCAAGGTTAAAGTTACATGATTAGGGCCGTTTTTTAAATTCTATAAGCAGTAGGATAACTATATGTGGTGTATGGAATGACTGTAATGGGTACATGTCAGTCTGGCAGGTTTCTTCTGACCTTGACCTCATTTTCATGGTTCATTGGTCAATGTTAAGTTTTTGTGTTTTGGTCTGTTTTTCAAGTATTATAAGCAATAGGTCAACTTTATTTGGTATATGGAATGATTGCAAGGTGTACATGTCTGTCTGGTAGGTAGCATCTGACCTTGACCTCATTTTCATGGTTCATTGGTCAACGTTAAGTTTTGTGCTTTTGTCTGTTTTTCAAGTACTATAAGTAATTGGTCAACTACATTTAGTGTATGAAATGATTGTAAGGTATACACGTCATTCTAGCCAGTATCATATGACCTAATTTTCATGGTTCATTGGTCAATGATACATTTCGTAATTTTGTCAGTCTATCAGATACTATAAGCAACAGGTCAACTATATTTGGTGTATTGAATGATTGTAAGGTGTACATGTCTGTCTTGCCTGGTTCATCTGACCATGACCTCATTATCATAGAACATTGATAATGATAAGTTTATGTGATACTTGTGGTAAAAACTTCATGTTACAGACTTTCAACATAAATTCAATGATAAGTAAAACAGGCGAGACATTTCAGCGTATGCACTCTTATTTTACATAAGTGACGAAAAATTCGAATTTTGAAAATTTTAGCACTGAAAAAGAGAAAGTATGATGTATTCATTGTCAAGATGGATTTACTAGTGCATTATACACAATGATCAAGAGGTCTTTTGCCCTCAGATTTATGTGGATAGTATTTGAATTTGCAAGTATTAGAGGCAGAAAATAATTTAGTAATTAAGGATGTACTTAATAGGTCAGGTTTAGGAATTTGTGTTAGATTTTCCTATAATACAGGGTAAAATATTTTGCTTCAATAGCTCATAAAAGGTCATTTACCAAAATTTAAGCAGATTCTAGATTTCTCTTCTTTCGATTTGAGACACAAATAACACCAATGCCATTTCTAAAAATATTAAATATCTTGAAAAGGAGCTCCATAATCTATCAATATTTTTAGCTTATTTTGTTTCATAACTAATGCTCTTGTGACTTAAAGTATCAATTTTATATTCTAGATTTTTTTAATTTCACCCTTAAGTACATCCTTAAAGAAAGATATGAATATAAGGACTTGTGGGGTAATGCCAAAATGAGACAAAACATCAATATATATATATATAGATTCTACCACTGCTTTGAGTGTGATAAGATATTCATCCACTCCAGACAGTTTAATTTTCAAATTTAAAATGTGAGGCTCGCAGAGTGTTTTAAATATTTAAAATTTAATTGTCAAGAGTGGATAAAAATATCGTATTACACGAGATATGGTGGTGGAATCTGTTTCTCTTATGATTTTTACACAATATGCAGGCAAACTTATTCCTTTTTTTCAAATGAGCTGCAAATAGATGTGTTCTTTCTATGTGACATCATCAGGCATGGTCGCCTTTTTCCATGACGTCGCAATAGTATGGGGTATGAACAATGAATAAACTCACCATAGATACCAGGATTAGGATTATGAAATTACCCAAAATTCTTTAGATTCTGAATTGGTGAATTGATTGATTGATGGGTGCTTAAGATTGAAACAATTATTTTTGAAAATGTGTAAAAGCACAAGTGATATGACATTTCATTTCATTATTTTACAAGTGGGAGTTTTAGCCAGCTTTAAAACAATGTTTAACCCACCATTTTCTTCAGAAAATGTCTGTACCAAGTCAAAACTATGACCATTGTTCTTCCTTCGTTTTGTTGGTTGATAAAGTGTAACTTAAAAAAAAAAGCACACAGAAAACTAATGACTGAGGAACACAAACCCCATCAAAAATTGGAGGTGATTTTGAGTGCTGAAGGGTACACAGATCCTACTCACTAGTGGCATCTGTGGAGTTAGGAATTAGGTTATAAATTACATTTGGTAATAAACAATGAAGGAAAAAAAGACATTATTGCCTTTAAACCTATCTATGGCCATCTGTAACAGATTTCCGTAATTGTCAACCAAATCATGAAGGTCCACTTTCATTGCTTTGACTACTTGTTCAATACCTTATGTAAGAAGCATTCCTTGATTAAGGTATCAGGAAAGGAAACACAGGATCTGGTTCTGATGTCAGTTTCAGAAACTTTTTGTTCGAATCCTGGTAAAAGTTTTTAAAGTATGATTTATCCCTTCCTTAAATAATATATTTGTATCTTCATTGGTCATTCTTTAAAAAAAAACCAAAGTAGCACTAATTCAAGTTTGAAAGTAGGAATACTAGTGTCAGGGATACAGGAGTCATTTATGTTTTTATGCTATTGCAGGAAAGAGACTTAGATTGTATGTTCTCTAACAGATTTTTGGAATTTATAGTATCCACATCTAATTCACACCGCCCCTAGAACTGGAATTTTATTAGACACTTGGAAGCTCAATTTTAGTTGTATTTCCTGCGACGAAAATTGCAGTATGCGAGACTAGGTATTACTATCTGGTGGCGGCGTAAACTATTTGTATAAAGCTTTTTATTTCAGAAGTTAGAAGATACCTAATATTCTGAAGTTTCCGTTTGTCATATGTCCATTGTTCTTGACCTCATTTTCATGGTTCAGTGACTGCTTGAAAAATAATAGTTTTTGTCATGCGAATATCTCCCTTATCATTAGTAATAGCATAACTATATTTGATATATGGGTTCCTTGCAACATCTACATGTCTGTCAGTCAAGGTTCAGCTGACCTTGACCTTGAGATGACATACTGCAGAATAAAGAGGCAAGTTGTGTTCTCTACTAAAAATTATGTTTTAGATACAAAATCGTTTTATGGGCCAAACAAATGAATAATTATTGATAGTTTTTGTTTTATTTGAATTTTAGTAATTTATGTGTGTTGCAGTGTTTAGGGTTCACATTACCTAAAATAAGGCTTCTTTGGTGATGTTGAAAAAATGTAGTGAGAAAACAAATCTTTTATTACATTTCAATTAAAAATGGTTTAATTTGGTCATTTGCTATTTCCAACAATATGACATTGTATGCATACACAAATTATAACAATGTCATATTGTTCTTGTTATTGTTCTAACATCAGACAGATCAAGAATTATAGATATGTTCTAAGGGAGATACTTCATTATAAACGGTCAGTGTCTCAGTTTAGATTAATTAGTTATCAAAGAAAGATGTACTTAATTTCCTGTACTGGAGACTGTATTTCAGTTTAAGCATAAGATTGAAAACAAGTTGAAGGAACAATTTGAAGTTTATCTTAAATTTTCACAATAACAAAAATCTTTACTTTGAAACTATTCGTTAGTCCAAAAAATGAAAACAAGTTACACATTTCATGCCTCAAAAGGGCTTTTCTGGATTTACCTCCATCAGGAAATTGGTTTTACAAGAATGCATGAAAGGCAATTTTATCCACATTAGAGTATATTTATTATCTTATACTTTGCAGGCTAAAGACCAGCTTTTACTAAATACATTAGAAACAATATCTAAACACAGACTAGAACAAACTAGAGCGGCTGCTTAGCCATTGAAACAAATATAACTTTTATTATTATTGTTAATAAAATATAGTACTTTTAAAATAAGTATTTATTAAGATTTTAAACTGCTTCTTTTTCAGATAAGAAACTAAGAAGAAATCAGTACCAGAGAAAATAGAATTAAAAGATGAAAAACTCACAGAATTACAAAAGAAACTTGAAGAAAGAAAAGCACAGAGAATAAAAGACAATCTACTAAATTAGGAACAAAACGGAATTCAGCTGATAATAGAACAAGAAGTCTTATTAATCAGAAGGTAGTGTGTCAAGTCATGACATAAGCTTTGTTTGTTAAGTGTTTAACCCTACTTTTATCGTTGCTATATAGTGGTCAGAGTTATTGTTAGAGGAAGTCATAGTACCAAGAGAAAACCAACTTCCCTCTGAAGATCCTTTTAAACTAAAATCAAAGGCAAGCACACCTTGCCACAATCAGTGTTAATTTGAGTCCCAGTCGTTCTTTTCTGCTATCATCAGCACCTTTTTTTCTCTTCACTTTATTTAAGTATAAGTATTGATGATATTTGGTGTATTGCAAAAGCAAACATGTGTCTTAACTGCTAAATGGTAGTTGTGTTATAATATTTCACTACTTTCTATGTATTAGAATATATTTTGATGTGAATTGTGATAAATTGTCAAAATTCATGTGATTATAAATCAGTAACACTTTTAGTATGCTATCAAAATCAAGTGCATTCAAACAATGGATTATGAATGGATTTACATTCGTTTGGTGTGTTTGAGCTAAGGGACCTTCCGTTTTGAATTTTCCTTGGAGTTCGGTATTCTTGTCATTTTACTTTTTATAATTAAAGTCTGTATTTATCTACCTTGGTATACAGACATTTGACTAAATCTAATAATTGGTCTAAAAATACCTGTTCATCTCTAAATTGATTTTTTTCAAGAAATGTTAAAAGAATGTTTCCATGTAACA